TAGAAACAAACAAAACATCAAACTAGATTGAATCAAGAACATTCCAACTTAGGGTGACTCCATGTATGTTAGAACAGAACTTTGTTTCACAGGGTTCTCAGTGACTGGCCTTGGCAGATGTATGTTGCCAGGCCTTTCTTCTGAGATGCCTGTATAGAGAATTAAACTGACTTTCAGGATCATAAAGTAAATTTCTGATTGATTTCTTGAGTTATTTTTATGTTGAACCTGGATGTAAAAAAGTATCTTGTTTTGGTATTCCAGTTGGGGTTTTTGTTACTTGCAACTGTATACAAGTGAAAAATCACAGAGGTGCCATTACTATTCCTGGGAATTATGAGAGATAGATTGTAGAGAATGGAAGATTATTATAGTAATGAAAGAATATTCCAAAGAAATCTAAAAACTCGTATTACATTTTATTAACGGCCTCATTCTAAATTATGGCATTTATGTTAGATACAGTGATGCATCCATTCAATAGCACACATGTTTTGAGATAATTTTTTTGTGTTTGTGTGGTATTAGAACACTGAAGGATTTAAGGTAACTCCACTTTCATCGCACTCTGAAATAATCCCTTGTATTTACACTTTTCAAGTCCTTCTTTAATTATTACACAACCTTAGATTTATAATAAATCTGAGATTATAACTTGAAGCAATATTAGAAAGCAGAGTAGAACTGCCCCGAGTATTACCAAGGCAGAAGATCTTCCCAGGAGCTGACTGCTACAGCTTTCCTCTGTGGAGCAAGCTGGTGGGTTCAAACTTCTCACCTTTCAGTTAGCAACCCTCTCTGCCACCAGGAATCCCTTAACTATTACAATGCATTGATAATAATTTTCATCTTGTTCTCTTGTAAAGACACAGAGCTTGATATGATGGTTAGTGAATTTTAGAGGATTGGCTGCAAAAGAACTATCTTCAAAATGTTCTTTCCCTTTACGTAAACTATTTGCGTTTTGGTTAGAAAATTTTATCCATTGACACATCAGTTCACTTGTCAACTTTATACATATATTTAAAAAAAATAAAACCCACCCTTATCCTTCTTGCTCTACCTGTAGGATTTAGTTTGAAATTTTCATCTAAACTTGATAGCACAGTGTCATTAATCCCTACTGGATGTAGTGTGTCCTCTTGCCCACTGTCATCAAGTTGATTCCTACTCATTGCCATCCTCAACTGGATTTTCATGGCTATAAGTCTTTCCTGGGGGAGATTGTCCATTTTTCCCCGGAGGAACCACTGGAGGATTTGAACCACAACCTTTGGGTGACCAGCACAGCTTCCTACAGACTAGATCACCATCCTCCTAGGAGCAATTAAATCTCCTCCAGTTCTGCTGAACTGTTCATCTTTCTGTATAGTCCCTGAAAGGACAAATTTCATTTGAACAGAGACCATGTGCTCTTTATCTTTGTGCCCTCCACCACCTAGCTTAATGACTAATAATAAATGAATCAATTCTCAGTGTTTATAAATTGAATTAACGTCAGAGTGTTTTTATAAGCTATAGAAAGCACACTTAAGAGAAAGTGTTTTAATTTATGATATACGTTTATTATTTAAAAATATGTATATATTTATTGTAATGGTGCTCTGGTGGCCTCTTGGTAGGGGGCTGTGCTGCCAACCAGAAGGCACACATTTGAATCCACCAGCTTCTTGGAGAGAGAAGGCTGGCCAGTCTCCTTGTGCTTTTTACAGCCACAGAGAACTTGCTTGAAGGGTCAGCTGTGAGTTAGTTCTCATATGACAATACAAAACAACGTCTGGGTATATACTTATATATGTTGTTGTTATGTACTTTTGAGTTTGAACCAACCCATAACTGATCCTATGGTGGGATTCAAAGGCATTTAATCATATGGGAGGGAATTGCTCATCCTTCTTTCATGGAGCAGCTGATGGATTCAAACTGCATGCCTTTGGAATGGTAGTACAGCTTCTTGACACTAGGCTCCTAGCGTTCCCTGAAAAGAAAGAAATAAATATAAAAAAATAATATTAATAAAAAGAAAAATAAAAAAGAAAAAATACATAAAATAAATATATATATATTTAAAAACTACAGAATTCTATTTCTGTTATAATTATAAAAATGTCATTATATTCAATTTAAAAAGATACAGTTTACCTCCTATCTTGGAATATTTTGACTTCTTGTTAGTATTTTATAATTTTAGATCATACTGAATGGAGCTCTGGTGGTCTAATAGTGAGGAACTGCACTGTAATCCCAAAGGCACAGGATTCTAATCCAGCAGCTGCTCTGTGGGAGAAGGATGAGCAGTCAGTTCTGACTTCAGGGCACACAACAATTAGACCACACAGATAGCCTGCTTAGAAGATGTTTACAGTTATTTCAAAAATAGACTTTCAAAATGAAATCTTGCCAGAGTGAATGAGGGAAACAAGTTTCTTCTTCTATGTTGTTGTTGTTATGTGCCGTCGAGTCACTTGCAACTCATAGCGACCCTATGTTCGACAGCCCTAAACTCTGCTCTGTCCTGTGCCAATCGCACTGTCTCTGACACACCCATCCCGATTACTTCAGTCACTGAATCAATCCACCTCATAGAGGGTCTTCCCCTCCTGCACTGTCCCTCCACCCTACCAAGCATGATGTCTCTCTCCAAGGCCCTGTCTCTCCTTACAACATGTCCGAAGTATGTCAGATGAAGCTCCATAATCCTTGCCTCCAAGGATTAGCCTGGTTTAACCCTCTCCAGGATGAATCTGTTTGTTTTCTTGGCAGTCCAGGGTATATTCAATACTCTTCTCCAGCACCACAGCTCAAAGGCATCAATTCTCCTTCTATCCTCCCTAGTCATTGTCCAACTCTCTGATGCATAGCAAATGATTGCAAAGACCATGGCCTGTATCAGGTGGACCTTAGTCTCTAGAGAGACACCATTGCTCTTGAGTACTTTAGAGAGGTCCCTAACAGCAGACTTTCCCATCGCGATACATTTTTTTATTTCCTGGCTGCTGGTGCCAGGACTGTTGACTGTGGAGCCGAGCAAACTGAAGCTGTGAACAATCTCAATCTCTTCACCATCCATCCTGATGCTACCAATTGGTCCAGTGGTAAGAATCTTTGTCTTCTTGACATTGAGCCTCAATACATACTGAAGGCTGCAGTCCTTGACCCTCTGCAGCAAGTGCATGAGGTCCTCCTCAGTTTCAGCAAGCAGGGTTGTGTCATCTGCATAACGCAGATTGTTAATAAATCTTCCACCAATCCTCATGCCACACTTCTCCTCATGGAGCCCAGCCTGCCAGATAATCTGCTCTGCATACAGGTTGAAAAGGTACGGAGATAGGATACATCCTTTCCTATACCATCTTAATTATTAAAGCAGTAGCTGTGTGTGAGAGAAGATTCTTTTTGGTCTCTTGACCACCCTTTAGAAGCAACAAACAACCCTGTGGATCCTTGTTTATTTCTTTATATGCATACTTAATAGAGATGGGGCTATTGCTAACACATTTCTTATTTCTCTAGTTTATTTCCTTCTTTATTCATAATGTCAATCTATAAAGAGAAAAATAGCTAAAGTTTTTAGACGCTGTACCGTAAATGCCCTTGGACTTTAAAAAAATGAGCATTTTGGAGGCATATTCAAATGTCCTTAAAATTAGTCTATGGCCATGCAAAGCTGAACGTGCCTAATCTCATCAAATGTCCTTAAATTTAGTGTTATCAGATAATCAACCTTCTAAATTTCTGATGTTATTCATAGAAGAAATTAGTCAGTTGAGATAATGCAAAGGGTCCATTTTAAGTGTTGAGTAATATTGCAACTTGTATATTTGTTTAGCTCACTTTTCAGGAAAATGTGAAAATTTAAAAAAAATGTGCCTTTATTTTGTAATTTACAAAGCAATTCTCAAAGCATTAATGTTTTTGGCAAATTTGTATGTAAAGCTGTTTATGAGATTATGTTGATTTCTTAATATGAAGAGAAAGCAGCTGCCTCAATCTGTTTACCCTCCCAGTTAAGAGTATTTGAATGCCCTCCCTCCCCCTCAATTACTTTGGGCTTTAATGTTGATGCTACTGAGTTATGACTTTTGAAAGGCCTCCTTGGCTCTGATCAAGGAACTGTTGGCACGAATGCTGCTCTTCCTGCCCCAGTGTGCTCATGTGGACAGTGAGGCATTTGATGGCTCTGAAAGTACAGCCAGAGTGCTCCTTGGAAGCAAAGATGGTGAAGCTTCATCTCTCAAACAATAGATATGTAGCTAGCTGTGACTATTCCTTATAAAGGAATGTCATGCTTGGGAAGGTCAGTGAAGGAGGGAAAGATCCCCAGTGAGACAGACTGACACAGTGACTTCAGCAGCTCCTGTTTACACAATCCCCTCACCACCCCAGTACCTCTTGTTGTTTGCTGGTGAGTTGAGTATAACTTCTGAACAGCAGACCTGAACCCTGTCCTATCCTCCATCTTCATCATCTCAACAGACTTGAGCCCATTGCTGCGGTCACTTTGCCATTCCATCTTGTTGAGGGTCTTCCTCTCTTTGGTTTACTCTCCATCTCTCCAAGCATGATGTTCCTTTCAAAAGAATAAATAGCTTCTCATAACAATATGTCCAAAGTATGTGAGAAGAAGCTTTGCCATCCTTGGCTCTAAAGAGCATTAACTGTTACTACATTTTTAAATGCTCCCAACCCCAGCTACACTATTCATGTCTGCCTTTGTCTATAAGACACCCATTCCTAGTTGCCGCTGTCTATTGGCCTCCAGTTTATGAGTTTTGAGCCATCCTCTCCGTAGATACCTTCTCTCTGAGGCTTTCCTTGACCATTCCCACCAGCCTGGATCCGTCCCCCCTGTGAACTTCTTCAGCACTCTGGCCTTTCTCATGACACTGAGAGACCTGAAGATATTCTTGAGATGCTGGGGAAAAAGAACTAACTCCCTAGTCCTGATTGAATGTCTTTGAGCTCAGAAATGATATCCTTTTGTTATCCATTTTCTCCAGATTACCAAGCTGAAAATAGATAGCAACCCTTTTGCCAAAGGATTCCGGGACTCCTCCAGACTCACTGACATTGAGAGGTAATGAGAAGTTTCTGTTTACTCTTTTGTCCAGATAAGATAAAGAAAAGAGAGTGTTTGTAAGGACACTCTCCTTTCAACTCTTTAAGAACCGTAACTTTACTGAGTAGGACTTCCCATTCTCTGTGGTTTCCCCACCCCCTACCCCTTGTAGATATAAACCCTATGGATATTTGAACTACTTAAGGCCTCACAGCTGCTAGTACTTGCTTTCTGAGGTGGTTTTGTGAAGTGGTTTCTTTACTCAAGACATTTATTCAGCTGAAAAAGACTGGGCCTTATTATTATCAAAGACTCAGTTCTTTCGGTGATAGGAATTACAAGTCATCTTTGAAAGAGTGACAATCTGCAAAAAATGGAATAGTGTTAGTTTCTTACCTTCTGAAGTGATTGTATTTGTTCACTTAGCGTATGACTATCATTTGGAATTTTGAGAGGGGAAAAAAAAGAAATAAGATTTAAGTTAAAGTCACTTAATTTTACCTTTTGTGTTACTTTTTGCTATTGAATTGGAATAAACCCATAAAGACCCTCCAGCAGGTTTTCAGAGGCAGTAAACCTCATGGAAGGAGATTGCCCATCTTTCTCCTACAAAGCACCTGGTGGATTTGAACTGTGCATTTTGAGGATTGTGCAGTTTCCTATCACTCGGCCACCAGAGCTCCCTAATAGGGTTGCTGTTGTCTTAGATGCTACTGAGCTGTCCCTTGACCCCGGGTGACCTCTTATGTAGAGAGTAGAACTGCTTCATGCAGATTTTGGCTGTAGTTCATATAGAAGCAGTTTGACAAGCCTTTCTTCTGCAGTGTTGTTGAGTGGGTTTGATACACCCCCCCCCACCCCAAGGCTTCTTAGATTCAATTGAAAACATATCGAGTATCAGGACCTTTAAGAAGAGAAGTAACATTCATATATAGGTAACTTATTTTGTGTTGTTATTAACTTAAAATTATACACATAATGTGAGACTGTCTGTGTGTACCACTAAATATCTAAAAAGTTCATAGGAATATTCAAACAAGATTTTTCAAACAAATGGAGAATATTTTTTCCGTATTGTGTAGCTTCCTAGTGTGTGTGTAACTCTTTTTTAATTGGTTTACATATTGTCATTCGCGTACCTTATGCTTTATTCATGTACATTGTGTTTTATGTGATTACTCATATACATTGTTGTATATGATCAATTACTATTGATCTCTCTCTGCCTTTTATTACACTGTCCCCTTGAGTCCTCATTGCATCTTTCTTCTATCTTCATCCCTCCAGCTGCTCACTAACCTCTGATATCCCACTGAATTTCCTGCTCGCCCTTTTCCTTCCTTTTCTCTTCTTTTTTTTTTTGAACATTCATAGATATCTTGCTCAGTTATTCTCCTATTTTCACAATAGTGGTCTTATGGAGTATTTACTCTTTTGTGACTGAGTTATTTCACACAATGTAATGTTCTCCAGGCTCCCATGTTGTGTCATATTTTTATGAATACTCATATTGTTCTTTTCCTTGGAGGCAAGGATTGTAAAGCTTTGTCTGACATACTTTGGACATGTTGCAAGGAAGGACCAGTCCTTGGAGAAGGCTGTCATGCTTGGGAGGGTGGAGCGACAGCACAAGAGAGGAAGACCCTGCATGAGATGGATTGATTCAGAGTCTGGGGTAATGGGGCTAGGTATGTTGGAGACAGTGAAATTGGTACAGGATAGAGCAGAGTTTAGGCTGTTGTACATAGGGTCACTATGAGTCGCAGGCGATTTGACGACACATAACAATAAAAACATGTTGTTCTTTAGGGCTGTATAGTAATTCATTGTATGAATATACCACAGATTCTCTATCTAGTTGTTGATAGAGATCTGGGTTGTTTCCATTTTCTTGCTATAGTGAATGTCTCTGCTTGGGGTATATTCCTACAGGAGAATAACTGGGTCTTATGTCTATGTTCAGCTTTTTGAGGAAGTGCTAAACTGACTTCCATAGTGGTGGCACCTTTTTACAATCCCATCGACATTGCATGAGAATTCCATTCTCTCTGCATCCTTGCCAACAATGTTGACAGGTAGGTTACCCCATGAACTCTGTTTTCTTGTAACCCCATACATGTGTATAATCATACCCTGCTGTTTCTTCTATAATTTTCTTACCTAGAAGACTGTCACATCTTCTGACCTAAGTACCTAAATACTACATTCCAATTAAAGAATAAAATAGTCATGCAATATCTGTCAGTTCCTTTCCTAACCCAATTGGCAGACTATAGAATGGTGGTTTTGGCTGGGAAATAGATACGGAGGCTGTCAGTGAGAGTCAACAGAAGCAAGAATTATGGAGTTTGAGTAAAAAAGAAGGATTGATCTTTGAAAAGCTTGGTAAATGGTTGAGAATAATGAGGACGAGGAAAGAAACTTGAACTTGTGCTTGAGAATCTAGTATGTAAACCAAAATGTGAAAGAAAACCCCTGAAGTGTGTAAGTTTCCAGGGAGTTGGAACAGAGGAGGGCAAATAGGCCTTGAGATAGACATGAGAGAGAATGTATCAGTAAAAAAATCTGTTTACAAAAGTTGTGTTTTATCTTACTGACCATTGAATCAGAACTGATGCACAGCTGACCCTTCAGTAACTTTTACGAGGCCTTAAGTTACATGAAAGGAGATTGTCCATCTTCTTCTTGGAGATCTGCTGGTGAATTTGAACTACCAGAGAGGCTTGACCTTTGGGTTGAATTATGCCACCAGAACTCTTGCTTAACTTTAGATGTTAATGTTATTGTTGTTATGTGCGACCTAGTGACCTGTGACTTATAATGACTGTATGCACAATAACTTTGAACCTGCCCTATCTTTAGCTAATCTCACTGACTTTGACACACCTGCCCCATTACTCCAGTTACTGTGTCAATCCATTTCATCACGGGTCTTCCTCTTCTGCATTGTCCATCTACCTTTCCAAGCATGATATTCTTCTCCAAGCACTAGTTCCTCCTGGCAACATTTCCAAAATATTTGAGACTTCAAAATTCTTGTGTCCAAAAGCAGCTCAGTTTCACCCTCTCCAGGATGAACCTGTGTTTTCTCTTGGTTTTCCATGGTATGTTCAATGCTCCTCTCCAGTATCACAACTCAAAGACAATGATTCTTCTTCATCTTTAGTCATTGTCCAACTCTGTGGTGCATAGCAAGTAATTGTGAAGACCATGGCCTATATCAGGTGCACCTTAGTTCCTAGACTTGCATCTCTGCTCTTTAGCACTATGGAGAGATTCTTGTCAGCAGATTTTCCTAATTTAATTCACCTTTGATTTCCTAACTGCTGGCGTCAAGAGTGCTGATTCTGGAGCCAAAAAAGCTGTAATTGTTAAGAACCTTTCTTTGTCTATTTTCCATCCATCATGGTGCTGCCAGTCGGCCCAGTGGTGAGAATCTTTGTTTCTTGATGTTGAGTTTTAATCCATATTGAAGACTGCAGTCCTTTACCTTCTGCAGCAAACACCTCAAGTCTTCCTCAATTTTAACAAGAAATGTTGTGTCATTTGCATATCTCAGGTTGTTGATGAGTCTTCCTTTAATTCTGATACCACATTCCTCCTCATAGAGCCGAGACTTCCGAATGATCTGTTCCCCATATAGATTGAAAAGCCATCCCTGATGCACTCCATTCTTGATTTTGAACCATGCAGCTTTTCCTTGCTGTGTTCCAACAACTGCTTTCTGGTTCAAGTATATGTTGTCCAAGAGAACAATTGAGTATTCTGGGATGCCCATTCTTCTCAAGATTAGCCACAATTTGCTATGATCCATACAGTCAAATGCCTTTGCATAGTCAATGAAATATAGATAGACATTCCTTTGGTACTCTGCTTTCGGCCAGGATCCATCTGGCATTGGCAATATTGGTCTAGTGCCACGGGTCCTCTTCTAAACACAGCTTATATTTTTGTAGTTCTTTATTGATGTATTGTTCCAGTCATTTTTGGATAATCTTTAGCAGGATATTGCTTGTGTGTGATATTAGTGATATTACTCAATAATTTCCACACTCTGACATATCATCGTTTTTTTTGGAATGGGAATAAATATTCTATTTTCTATCAGATCTACTGCTTTGGACTGAATCTATGTAGTTTGGATTAAAAGTGGACATTTTCTCAGTTTTAGGAATATAAATAAAGGCACTGGGTCACTGAAATAGTATTGACATGTTCCTTAAATTTTTTATTATTACTATTTGTATCATTTATATACATTGTATTTTCTGCATGTGTGTTATGTGTGACATACAGTCCTTCATTTACATTATATTTAATTCATTTATATTGTGAAAGGTTTTTTCCTCCTTTACAGTTATGCAACTACTTTCACAGAAGTGTGTAAGCCAGGTACTTCATGCCTCATGGTCCAATATCCCTCATTTAGATAGCTAATCGCTGATTTGCCCAAGGGAGCTTATAGTAACAAATTGCATTGTAATCCCTAAGACATACAGTTTGAGTCCACTAGCTCCTTTGTGGGAGAAGGACGGAAATCTACTCATGTGTAATTAACTGCTTCTGAAGACCCGTTGGAATGTAAGCTATGGGTCAGTTCCAACTTGATGGTACACAATAACAATCAAATCAGCACTCTGAGGAAACAAACTTTTGCTGAAGGATCCTCTGTTCAACTTGGAAGCTTTGAACATCTATATCTGTAAGCAAAGTCTAGTCCAGAGCAAGCCATCAGGTTGCAGCAAACATTCCTGTAGTTCAGAGCATGGTCACCTTCTCTTCATCTGGTTAGGTTTTGGTCAGCTCATCCCCAGGCATCCCTGCCTGGGTTCAAATGGGCATCAGCTGCAAGCTCAGGAGTCCACACTTCTCCTTGCTCTTCAGACTTGTGTGTCTCCTTACTCAACCCTAGCCCCCAAATGGGGCCAAGTCAAGTATTGACATATTTTTATTGCTCATCACATCTTCTGTCTTGGATTAGAGGGTTGTTTGTTTGATGCTTCCTCATGGTATGCATA